ACAGGCTCCACTTTTATAGTCTGGATCGTGCAGCACAGAAAACATTGGGGGGAATAGATTTCCAGGACAAAACCTGCCCCTCAATTGATCCGACCTTGAAAAAAATAAATACATTGTCATTGATGCCGCTCTTTGTTAATGCTTTTGTTGGCAGAGTGATTCACATCCAAACAGCCGACCTCAATCGGCGAGCTATTAAGAGACTCTCCTGTCATTACGCAGGGAAGGTTATCAATCCGATGATTGTGACTCAACAGCAAAGTCAATAACAAGAAGTAATACCCTACAGCTGGACTTTCTAAATGTGAGGCTTGGAGATTACATTTGAACATCTGATTGGTATGGACATATTTAGAAATTCATGACGCAGTGGAAGAACTTCTGCTCATTAGGACTATTTACCTGGGCCCCAGACTATTGCACCGTCCACAAGGTAATATCGTGTTTCCAGCGCTTTATTGTAGGGAGGCTGCACCTTCTTTATTGGGAAAAAAGCCACAATGATTATTCAAACGTCTTGAAGACTATTGAGCCACCAGAACAAGGCGCAGTCGACTGTTTGAAAGTTATGGCTATGCTGTCTCCAGGGGCCCCGTCACCGATAATTAGCGATCAATCACGAATTAGTTCAAAAGCCTGAAAAGCACACCGAGAGCACTATTAGATTGCAAAGATTCACTGCTCTCCAATAATTGCTTTGGATTTTTACAGGGGAAGCAAGGTCCCGTTTGTTTATCACAGTGTCTCATCACTGCCATCATGAGGGAGCCACCATGACAAATATCACTCTGAAGTGTTTACTTAGTTTTGGATTATTATTAATACACATTAAATACTTTAATTAGCCCTATAAAACTGTACAGCTGTCTTTTGGCCCAACAGATGAAGTATTCACGTGCATTTGACAGTTCAATTAAATCAGAAATTATCTTGAACAATTGATTTCAATAAACAGGGTTAAGTGGAAACGTTCTTTTGTTTTCAAAATTAAAAAAATAGCAAAAAAACACCTGGCTACAGGAACCGATAAAAAGGTATAAAACACAGCAGCTAAACAAATAATTATGCAATATTAAAACAAATAAAAATTAGATTAGACGTATTTTTGGAGGCCTTCTCCAAAGGCATTTGGAATATTGTAAAACATAAGTTCTGGGGAAACTAACCTGTTTGATAAATGCATGAACTACAGTCGAGTACAGCGCCACGCCAACTTAAAGGTGGGGTATGTAATTTATTTCAGAAACACTGTTATATTCCATGGAATGCTCTTAATGTCCCGATAGCAATGAATACATTAAATGCTTTGACAATAAATACATTAAAAAATGTCATCTGTGGAAGCCGTAGCGCTGTAAAAAGCACCACCAATCATTTTAGCCGGCCCGGCCACAATAGCTGGATGGCCTACCTGACTGTCAGCCTTCCATCTGTGCACAAACTTATCTCGTACCCTCATTGGTCATGTGCGCGTTCGTGTGTGTTGGAGGAGGGGCTCTGTAAGCAGGGGTGGTGGGTACTGTAAGCCAGTGCAACAGACCCTGGATATGTTTGAGTTATCTTAATTAACCCTAACAAACGAGATCTCGCTAAGCGGTCCTACGACGCTGGTTATCAACTCGGTAAATCAAGCCAGGGGCTGCAGTCGAATAGTCCAAAAATCAGCTCCTAAGTTCTAACCCTATCGTCTATTCCTTGACCTCTGAGTGAAACGTCACGGGGTTAAGGGATAGTGGATAGGAGAATTCAAAAGGACTTAGGAGAAGAGACTGCGGTACTTTAGAGAATCGACTGCACTTTCACTATCCGACGTGTTTATGATGCGCCAGCGGACGTCATTTTGTGCGTCTGCTGCTGTGGGGAAACTATGGAAACTACAATTTTCTATACAGCGGACTACAACATGGATGTTTAATAAGAACGAGGGACTACTGTAAACCAGGGTAGGATTTTCACCGGCGGCCATGACGGCCATGCTCAAAATACTACATTATTTTATATTTTCCAAAATCCTATGGAGAAATCCCATTGATTCTGAGACGAGGGAACCGGTAGTGGTAAGATGCTAACTCACTTCCGTGTTTTAGGACTCGTCACTGCATCACTCCATTGCAATGATACCTTAATCCTATAAATATATATATATATATATAGTGATCGTACATTTCTACTCACCTTTTTTTTATTTTCCTAGAAAAATGGCTTTCACTCAGCTTCTGTTTCTTGCTGTTATTTTGCAGAGTCTGGTGATAATCATGTGTTTAATCACCAGCAATTTATTTTACATTACACCTATTCGTATATCGCTTTTATATTTATTGATTAAAAAAAACATTGATTATAGCAGGGGTTGTAACTTGTCACAATCTGCTTCTCCCCTTACCTGCTGCACTCCAGTACTTTACCACTCACCACGCCTCAACCTCACCCCACTAGCAGGCTCCGCCCCCCTCATTAGCTGACATGTGCTCCCAGCTGCATCTCATCTCCAATCAAGCCACTTTTTAAGCCTCTCCTGCTCAGTTGCTCCTCTGCTGCCATTTTCATGCAATACTCTCCAGCAATTTGAATGAAGCCGGTTTAAAAGAGTATATATGTTTTATTTTAATAGTAGCCTATATTACGAAGTTCTCAAACAGTCATGATGTTTTACACAGTCTGCTACAATAAGTTTTGGCATGCACATTCAACAATGGTTTGTAGTCTGTCATTAAAACTAAAGAAGACTGTCCAGTCTCATGTTCCGCTGTTGTCCTCTGACCTGCCTTTTTCGTCCGATTCCCAGTAAACCCACCAGCCTTCTGAGATCTGCTTCCCTTCCTGCTTGGCTATCCCAACTTTCCTACCTACCAGTGGCGAACCGTGTCTATCACAACTGGACCTTCTGTAGACACACACAGCCCCCCCCCCCCCTGGCGGCATTATAATGTCCGTCTTTTCACTGAATTGTCGTCTTGAAAAGGGTACTCACAAAAATTCCGCAACAACTTCATCTTCACCTGTTGCACTTGTCATTTCAACGTTAAAAACAATAAAACGGCATGAATTGCTTCGTCGCATTCATCTAGAATTCTAGATCCTCTGTCTCGAGCCAGTTAACTAGCGGGCCTTCTAGAGCAGTGGTTCTCAAACGGTGGTACGCGGAGTCCTAGGGGTACGTTGGAGTACTGCAGGGGGTACGTGAGATTTATTTTATGTTAATGAAAAAAAAAAACATAAGTAATGCATTTAAACAAACTGCTAATAGTAGATTAACTACTTTATTCAAAGGTTTACAGTAATTCTGGATAATAAAATGGGAAAAATAAAAGGGGTGCTCTCTTTTCCTCTCCCTCTCCTGACAGCCCGTCAGTCTCGTGCAGCTCGCTGAACCTGTAATAAGTGACCCGACAGTAAAGAATAAATATATTTATAACTAGTTTAGCTTGTTCCAGAGTAGATAAACAAGCTAAGTGTGTTAGGTCTAACTGTGTATTTAATTTTGCTCCACTCAACGGTCCGTCACAACGGCGGAGCTGTGATCATGCAGAATGTGTTCTCCGTCAGCAGCAGCTGATCTGATCTCTGATCTCTCTCTCGTGTCCAGTTATACTTCACTCGCGTTTATGTCCAAATCCATCAGATCTAGCTAGTTCTAGTTAATTATTTGACTGCCTGCTTATCAAAGGACACCTAAACGTTGCTTGGATATCGCAGCATTATGCATATGTTTATATGAGGGGTCAAAATCACATGCTCATAAAATGCTCATATATTTTTTTCTCTTCGTTCCCCACGCCCCAAAATAAATAAATAAATAAATATACCAATTTTAGGAAAAGTAACGAAGTTTGAGCAGTGTGGGTTTTATATTAACAGAGTTACACATATTTCAAAACGGGAAGTGTAATAACTGCAGTTTGCCTCCCTGTCAGAATGACAAAGGTCCTCAGTGAAGCACAAGCCCATGTTTCTCACTACATTGTAAGTACAACTTATTAAAAAGATCAGTTCAATGCAACTAATGTCGTCTTAGTGTTATTGCATGATGTTAAAATTGGTTTGCCATGAATTTAGTGATGGATTGTAAACATTTGAAATGTAGCATTTAAGTGTTTCTCAGTTACAAGGTTGTTGTTTTAATAAATCAGACACTGATGGTGCTGCAGCACTGTACCTCTTTATATAGGCATTTATTCCTTAACAAATAGTGTTTGCGCTGATCAGGGGGTACTTGGCTGAATTTCTTTTTCAAAGGGGGTACATTATTGAACAAAGTTTGAGAACCACTGCTCTAGAGTACCCTGGAACCGAGGGAAACTCTGAAAGAATACGCCCATTGGCTACAAATCAATATATGATTGGTTGATCAAACTGTCAGTCCAAACGTACGCTCTCATTCAGTGCAACGGCCAGGGCATTCTATCAAGGATGTAGAATACCTTGGTTGAAGGATATTCTACCCAGAGACCCAGAACAAGATCTGATTGGTTGCTTTCTTTTCTAACACAAAACCACTGAAATGAGTAGTGCATGGTCCGAGAAGGACACACAAATCAACGTAACACTGTACTACGCTCTGCATCAGCCAAACGACTCGCTGCGCCCTCGCTGCGAGGGGGACCCAAGTTCCCATCTGCAAAAACACGTGGGTTTGCTGTCCTGGCTCCAAGATGGTGGAATGAGCTCCCCATTGACATCAGGACGGCAGATAGCTTGCACATCTTCCGGCGCAAACTGAAAACTCATCTCTTTCGACTCCACTTTGAGCGTTAGAACTATTAACGAAGCACTTTTATACTAATAAAGGACTGGCTTATCTAAAGCCAGTTGAGTAGCACTTGAAATGTTTGGCTCTATGAAACCTGATGTACTTATATGATTCTGTTTTCTTCAAGGTTGTGTCTTCCTGGTCGAATGTACTTATTGTAAGTCGCTTTGGACAAAAGCGTCAGCTAAATGCAATGTAATGTAATAATGTAATGTAACTGTAATATTACAGATCAACAACACAGATACCATTCTTATTTATTCATTTTATATACATTTTATTTATATTATTATTTCGATGTTTTGTTTGTTTTATCTGAGTGTTCCAGGGTATTCTCTGAATACCTTGAAGGCCCTGACAGTTCGCCACTGCTACCTACTGGCTTCCCTTTCTCTGCTTAGCCCTGACCTGTCTTCTGCCTGTCCCTTACTGGCCTGTACCTGCTGAGTTTTGACACTAAACGTCACTACCAAATGTTGCTAGTTTGCTCTGTGTTCGCTCTGTGTTTGTGCAATGAGGTTGGTCCGTGTACGTTTTGTCAGTTTGATTTTTCGTTTAAACCAAAAGCCAAAAAACGAAAATACCAGCCTTTTCCCGTTTTTGATTTAAAACGAAAAAACGGAAAACCAAAGCCGTTTTCCCGTTTGTGTTGTCTGAATCAAAAGATGGATAACGAGAAAACCTAATAAAAAAAAGTCTCACAGTCACAAGACAATATGTAAAATCATGAACAATAGCCACATTCAGAGACAGTGACACGTCATCAGGAAATGCTTTCAGCTGGAATGCTTTCAGCTGGAATCATTTTCAGGTGAATCACTTCAGCTGGAATGCTTTCAGGTGAATCACTTTCAGCTGGAATGCTTTCAGGTGAATCACTTTCAGGTGAATCCTTTCTAGCTGGGGCCCCAGGAAGCAGCAGCAGCAGCAGCAGCAGCAGCGCCACAGAGAGGAAAGCAGGGTTCATCATTCTGACGTCGGACTAAACCTGAGAAATAATGCAAATATCATTACAAATGCCAAGATTTTTCCCAAAAACAGAACCACCTTGTGTCAAACAGTCACAACTATCTCTACTGTAACATACCTGTAGGAGTTCTCTGAATCTTTCTGAAGAAGCTCCTGCTTAGTCGTGATGGAGGGACTCCTGGTCAGTATCATTTATAGTTCTCTTCCACACCTCCCATTATACTGAAGCAACCAATCACCACCTATCAGGCTGATATCCAGCTGAGTCATTATACATTTCAAAATGTTCTCACAGTCACAAGACAATATGTAAAATCATGAACAATAGCCACATTCAGAGACAGTGACATGTCATCAGGAAATAAAAATCTCTTCCTTGTTTGTTGAAAACACAGTGATGTGTACGTGTGTGTGAGTGTGAACCAGATTATGATTATTGCAGAAATGTCTCATTTAAGTATCACTGTAACTTCCTTCTCTGGTTTGATTTTCCCAGTTTGAATTCACATCTCGCTACTAAATATTCACTTCCCATTGTTAGGATTGATATTAGGGTTGTAATTAGTATGTAAGTTGTGCCCGCCTGGCCAACATTTCTATAGCCTGTAGGCCTACTGTTAATTGCCTATGCAGTATTACCCGTCTGGCCAACACTTCAATAGCCTGTAATAGCCAAAACTTCTATTATTTGTTCATTTCTTACCAAAGAGGTTGCTTTTGTGTGGAAGTTCCTCCACAATGATCAGTTCAGAATCAGAAACAGGTTTATTTTCAAGTAGGTTAACACCACACATATAAGGAATTTATTAATTTTTTGGAAAACTATAAACACATTTATCAGTTAATTAGTTAAAACAATTCATTTAACTCTTCTCTGGTTTTGGCAGAAACAGTTATTTCTGAAATGTGTTGGGACACTTGGATGTATCCCTTTTAGTATGATAATTCAACCCAGTCTCACGGCATTTCGTGTTCACCAACATGATTTTTAATCTATTGATTCGTGTTCACCAAGTCCACTAAAAACTGCTGACCCCTTCCTCGTTTTCTGACCTTCAGCAGACGCTTGACAGTGTAGACCAGACCTCCATCAATGAGCCTGGGAGGAGGGGGGGGCTTGGAAGCGGGAACCATTTTGCTTTCCTTGACCGGCTTGAGTTTGCTTACGTGGAATGTTGGATGGACTCTGAGTGATCTAGGCAGGCGCAAACGAACAGACACAGGGTTAATACACTTTTCCACAGTGAATGGGCCTACAAATCTTGGTGCCAGCTTCCTAGAGACTACGTTCAGGGGCAAGTCTCTGGTGGATAGCCACACTTTCTGACCCGGTCTGTACACAGGTGCAGGACGGCGATGCCGATCAGCCGCTTTTTTCATGCGGGCCGAAGTCCTAAGGAGGACCCGACGTGCTGAAGCCCAAATGCCATGACAGCGCCTGACCAGTGCGTGTGCCGAGGGAACCATGACTTCTTTCTCTGTCTCTGAGAACATGGGAGGTTGGTAACCGTAGACGCACTGGAACGGGGTCAATCCGGTGGCAGAGGTAGGCAATGAGTTGTGGGCGTATTCTACCCACGTGAGGTGTTTACTCCAAGAAGCTGGGTTTTGGGACACCAGGCACCGGAGGCAGGTTTCCAGTTCTTGATTCAGTCTCTCCGTTTGTCCATTTGATTGGGGATGGTAACCGGAAGAGAGGCTGACAGAGGCCCCGATGAGGCTGCAAAACTCCCTCCAGAAACGGGAGACAAACTGAGGACCCCGGTCTGACACGATGTCCTTGGGAAAACCGTGGAGACGACAAACATGGTGCAACAACACTTCAGCCGTTTCTTTGGCCGATGGCAGTTTAGGCAAAGCAATAAAATGTGTCATTTTAGAGAATCTATCCACCACCGTGAGGACGGTGGCGTTACCTTTGGATTCTGGCAGTCCGGTGACAAAATCCACTGAGATGTCGGACCAGGGCCGACTGGGGATAGGCAGCGGCCTGAGCAGACCCATCTGGGCCCTGGAAGAGGTCTTATTCCTGGCGCAGATGGTGCAGGCGGCCACATACTCCTTGACATCCTTCTCCATAGATGTCCACCAGAACCGTTGCTTGATGACGTACATGGTTTTTTTTACCCCAGGATGGCAGGTGAGCAGCGAGGTGTGAGCCCATTGAATGACCTTAGGACGCACAGTTTGAGGAACAAACAACCTATTTGGGGGGCAACCCCTAGGTGTCGGGCTCTCACCGTTAGCTCGTTTCACCTCTGTTTCTATTGGCCAAGTTACCGCTCCAACCACACAGTTTAGTGGAAGGATGAGCTTTGGTTCCTTTGCCGAGGGTTCAGGATCAAAAACACGAGAGAGTGCATCTGGCTTGACATTTTGTGAACCGGGTCTAAATGACAAGGAAAAGTTAAAACGAGTGAAGAACAAAGCCCATCTTGCCTGACGTGAGTTCAGTCTCTTAGCTTTTCGGATGTACTCAAGATTTTTATGATCCGTCCAGACTATGAATGGTTGCTCTGACCCCTCCAGAAAGTGTCTCCATTCCTCAAGCGCTGTTTTGACTGCCAAAAGTTCTCTGTTGCCTACATCATAGTTGCGTTCAGCAGGTGTTAACTTACGTGACAGAAAAGCACATGGGTGAAGTTTGCTGTCCTTGGCTGAACGTTGTGACAACACAGCCCCAACTCCATCATTGGAAGCATCCACCTCCACCACAAACTGCCGTAGTGAATCAGGAGTGATGAGAACAGGAGCAGAGGTAAACCGTCTTTTCAATTCCTGGAAAGCTTTGTCGGCCTGTAGAGTCCACAAAAACTGAACATGGGTTGAGGTGAGTGAGTGGAGAGGTGCAGCTATGGAGCTAAAATGTCTTATGAAACGTCTGTAGAAGTTAGCAAAACCGAGAAATTGCTGTACCTTCTTCCTGTTGGTGGGTGTGGGCCAATTTGCGACAGCACTGACCTTGCTTGGATCCATCTTGACCTGGTCCGGAGCAATGATGAAGCCCAGGAATGAGACAGTGGTCTTGTGAAATTCACATTTCTCCGCCTTCACGAATAGTTGGTTTTCCAGAAGGCCTTGGAGGACCTGGCGGACATGCTGAACATGGGACTCTTCATCAGGAGAGAATATCAATATATCATCCAGGTAGACAAACACAAAATGATTCAAATATTGTCTGAGCACGTCATTCACAAGAGCCTGAAATACAGCAGGAGCATTAGTTAGCCCAAATGGCATTACTAAGTATTCATAGTGGCCACTGGGGGTATTGAATCCAGTCTTCCATTCGTCCCCCTCCCTTATCCTGACCAAGTGATAGGCATTCCTCAAGTCAAGTTTAGTGAAGATCTTAGCTCCTTTTAACAGTTCAAAAGCAGTGGAAATGAGGGGGAGAGGGTACCTGTTTTTTACCGTTATATCATTCAGGGGAGAGTAGTCTATGCAGGGTCGGAGGGATCCGTCTTTTTTACCCACGAAGAAAAATCCGGCGCCAGCAGGAGATGACGATGGACGAATGAGGCCCGCCTTCAGAGATGAGTCAATGTAATCCGTCATAGATTGTCTTTCAGGACCAGAAATTGAGTATAGACATCCCTTGGGAATGGGGGCACCCGGTAGTAAGTCAATTGCACAGTTATAAGGTCGATGAGGAGGCAACGTAGAGGCCCGAGTCTTACTGAAAACCTCCCTCAGGTTGTGGTAACAGGAGGGAACATTGGGCAGGTCTGGTAAGTCAGAGGCATGGTCATGAGTTACTTCCTTCGTCTCCACCTCACTACCTGAAGTAACCCTTCCTACAGACAGCCCTTCAACTTCTCCTGGTGAAACCAAACATGTATGATTACATTCTCTTCCCCAACCCTTCACCCTACCAGAACGCCAGTCAATGTGAGGGTTATGTCTTTTCAACCATGGGAAGCCTAAAATCATAGGGTGTTGTGAGGAGTCGAATAAATGGAATGTCATGAATTCTGTGTGGTTGTGATTTATGATAACCTGGACGGGTTCTGTGTGGTGAGTGACTTGAAACAATAATCTTCCATCAAGGGCACTGGCATTTAAAGGTTGAGCTAAGGGCATGGTGACAATGTTCAAGCTTTTGGCAAAATTCCAGTCCATAAAACTTTCGTCTGCTCCTGAATCAATGAGAACATTCTGTGTTAAGGTTTTCTTACCTAATTTTACTTGGATAGGAGTCAGCGTACGAGGAGAGTAGTCAGAAGTTAGTCGGCTCACCAGCGCCCTCCTCTTGCCTGGGGAGCCCCGTCTTTTAGTGAGCAAGCGGCCATCAGGTGTCCACGATGCCCGCAGTAGAAACACAGGCCCTGGCGGAGGCGCCGTTCCCGCTCCTCCAGTGAAAGTCTTGCTCGGCCAAGTTGCATGGGTTCCTCTGATGTGGTGGATGGCGTTGTCAAAGGAGGCTTGATCCAGACCCCTGGAAACGAATCCTCCCTCATCCGGATGCCACGAGGAGGCCCCCTGGAGCTTGGTGAACGAACTGCAGGATGTTCTCTTTCTTTTTGTCTATCCCAGAGCCTATTATCTATTCGTATAGCCAGAGCAATCACAGAGTCTAAATCTTCTGGAAGATCTAATGGGACTAAGTGATCTTTGACAAGGCCTGAAAGTCCATTTACAAAGGCGTCCAGCAAGGCCAGATCATTCCAGCCACTGTCTGCTGCTATTGTCCTAAACTCTATGGCATAATCAGACACTCTTTGATTTCTTTGCTTGAGTTGAACTAGAGCTTTAGCCGCTTCTCTCCCTGGCGCTGTACGATCAAAAATCTTTTTAAGGGAATCAGTAAACAGTCCGAGTGATCTGCAAAGGGGAGAGTCTCTAGCCCATTCTGCTGTAGCCCACGCTGCTGCTCTACCAGTCAAGTGTGTTATCATGAAAGCTATTCTAGACTGGTCTGTTGGAAAAGCAGAAGGCTGATGTTGATAATGCAGGTCGCATTGGACTAAAAAAGGACGACAGTCACCTGAGTCACCGGAGAATTTCTCTGGAGATGCGAGACGAGAGCATGAAGAAGAAGTAGGTCCTTGAATCACAGCCTCAGGCAGGGGTGCAGCCGCGGAAACAGTTTGAGATCCAGCTTCCAGGTGGGCAAGGACACGAACAAGCTGATCTGCCAGGTGGTTTACTTGGCTGT